TAGCTAAAGTAAGAAGAACGTTTTATAAAATGTAAATCTATTTCCTTTTTTCAATTTTAAAAGAACATCACAGGTTGTCCAGATATTTCATGAGGATATATTTTTTAAATTTTGAAATTCCAGGTGCAATAATACATAATCTGTTTCACAGGCAAAGATTAAATATACTTTTTGGCTAGTGGATTTAGTGTTTTTATTGCCTTCTTCCTGATCAAAGGAATAACCAGGACCTTTACTGTGATCTTTTCTGATAATCTCCACTGAGTTAATACCTGTCCAAAGCTACAGCTTTTGTTTTTGAACTACAGCAGAGAGTTTGATAATGCCAAAATCTGGTAAGGTAGTTTTTTATTCCTAAAATCTGCATTTTTTTTTTTTTGAGATAGACACTCACTCTGCTGCCCAAGCTAGAGTGCAGTGGCATCACCATAGCTCATAGCAACATCAGACTCCTGGGCTCAAGTGATACTGCTGCTTTAGCCTCCCGACTAGCTGGGACTTCAGGCATCTACCACTAAGCTGGGCTAGTTTTTCTGATTTTAGTAGAGATGGGATTTTGCTCTTGCTCAAGCTGGTCTTGAACCCCTTACCTCAAGTGATTCTCCCACTGCAGCTTTCCAGACCATTAGCCACTGCACAAGGATTACAGGCATGAGCCACTACAGGCATGAGCCACTGCACAAGGCCTGATGCACACTTCTTGACAGAATCATAGTATGATTCCAAGAATTAAACTAATATATTTGTTATCTTGCATGCATTTGGAATACGCTACTTACCCCAGTGTTTGGTTTGATTGGCATACCAGTCTGTACTGAGAATATCCTTGAATGAAGATATTTAATTCTGTCAACAGGAATTCTGGTAAGCAGGGACTTGGGATGGAGGGAGGGACGCTTGATGTTTGGGATAGTTGTGCTGGCATCTGCCAATATACAAACCCTAAACCAAACCGAAACCAAAAACAAATGCAAATTCTCAAAATCACAACACATTTCATTTAGTTTAAAGAGTGAAAGTAATATAATATTTGAGAATAATACAAAATTAGGATAGAATAATGACAGAAAAGGGAGCCACATTTAGATTATATATTGGATAGCAAGTATATACTGGCTAACAAGTTCTTAAGTACTGAGTACACTGTTAACTAACCAATGCTTTTATATATAATACCAGAATGAAGAGATTTTGTTACTGCTGTTAAAAGATGCTGCAAGCAAATTAAACAAAAATGATGTATCATTTAATGTCTATTTTATGAAAAAAACTGAAAGTTATAAAATATAGCATGTGGAGACGCTAGGCCAGTGGTTGGCAAACTATGGTCAATGGGCTATATTCAGCCCAAGGCCTATTTTTGTACGGTCCTGAAGTCAGAAGAAATTTTATGTTCTTAAATGGTTCCATGTTAGATGCTTATATAAATGATATCCTTGATTGTGCCACTGAGCCTATGCAGTGTACAATACTATTTGGCCTTTTAAAATTAAGTTTGTTGACCCCTGCTCTAGGCAAAAAGATATGTCCCATGTTTGCAGCAAAGTGTTATGGTTCCAAGAAATGATTTCTATTCATAATCTTTGGTTTATTGTTTTATTCCTGGAAATATTTTATAGCAATATAATCCACTTTTCCCTTCAGTACAATTTCATAAAAGATAGTGTTGTTTTGCTACCAAAGACCATCTCTTAAAAAAAAAAAAAAGATGGTACATTTGTCATCTACTGCTGTGACACAGATTATGCCCAAAGTTTCACATAGTTTCTGTAGGTCAGGAATTTGGGAGTGGCTTAGCTAGGTGGCTCTGTCTTCAGATTTCTCAGGAGGTTGCAGTCAAGCTATTGGTCAGGGCTGCAGACACCTGAAGGCTCAACTGGGTCTGCAGCAACCAGTTCCAAGAACAGGAAGGTCAGACAGTTTCCCATATATCCATCCCCTCCCCGCAGCTATCTCCTCTATTTTTAACATATTGCATTTGTGTGACACAGTAGTTATAACTGATGAATTAGTATTCCAGCAGGTTCTTTTTAAAAAAATATAAATTGACAAGTATATATTAAAATTTACTGGCAATGCAGGGAATAGGTTCAATAAATAGTGCTGGGAAAATGGGATAGTCACATGAAGAAGAATGAAAGTAGACCCCTATCTCTTACCATATACAAAAAGCAACTAAAAATGGATTAAGAACTTAAACATAAGACCTCTAACTATAGGGAACTATGTTTTCCTCTAGTAGGAAATCCTTCAGGACATTGGTCTGGAGCCTAGACTTTAGGCAAAGATTTTTATCACCAACACACTCATATACATACACACACAGTGGAATACTATTCAGCCATAAAAAATAAAATCCTGTCATTTGCACAAAATGGCTAGAACTGAAGGTCATTAGGTTACATGAAATAAGCCAAGTGCAAAGGACAAGTATTACGTGTCCACACTCACAGTGGACCTAAAAAAGTTGATCTCATGGAGGTGGAAAGTAGAATGATAGCTACCAGAGGACTGGGATTGGTGGGGGGTGAAGATGAAGAGAGATTGGTTAATGCTGTAAGGCCCGAGGCCTATTAGGAGCCAGGCCATACAGCAGGAGGTGAATAGCAGGTGGTGAACAGCAGAGGGGTGGGCAAGTGAGTGAGCAAAGCTTCATCTGTATTTACACCCGGTCCCTATTGCTTCCATCACCACCTGAGCTCTCCCTCTCATCTCAGGAAACATTAGATTCTCATAGGTGTGTAAACTTTACTGTAAACTGTGCATACAAGGGATCTAGGTTGCATGTTCCTTATGAGAATCTAATGTCCCTCAGACCTCCCGCCCTGTCTAAAACCAGTCCCTAGTGCCAAAAAGGTTAGGGATTGCTGGGTTAATGGGTATGAACATAAAATTAGACAGAAGAAATAAGTTCTATTGTTCCATAGCACAGTAGGATGACTATAATTAATAATTTTGGCTGGAAATGATGGCTCATGCCTGTTATCTCAGATATTCCAGAGGCTGATAAGGGAGAACCACTTGAGTCCAGGAGTTCAAGGCTGCATTGAGCTATAACTACACCACTGCACCCCAGTCTGGGCAATAGAGCAAGATCTTGTCTCTATAAAAACAAACAAAACACCCCCAGTAATTTATCGAGTATTTCAAAATAGCTAGAAGATTTGACATGTTGAAAAGTTCCTAATACAAAGAAAATATCAATGTTTGGGGTGATGGATATCCTAAATGCCCTGATTTGAACATTATACATCATGTGCATGTACCAAATATTATATGTACCCCATAAATATGTACCATTATTATGTATTAATAAAAACATTTACAAGCCAAATAGACTAGAGAAGACTGATAGTATGATAGACATAAAAACGTACTTGTAAACAGTCTACTTGTTTTAGTTAAAAGACAAATACTGCCAGACTGGATAAAATAATACTTGTTATCACAGCCACTCTCTGGCCTAGTGCAGCCCTCAGAGTAGCTGACATTCAGTGCTCCATCAGTGGGCTTCCAGGAAAAGAGCTTGTACCCTGCTTTGGGATGCTCAATTAGCCAACTCCAGGGCTCCTACATTGAGAATTCTTTTTTCTTTTGAGACAGAGTCTCAAATTGTCATCCTGGGTAGAGCACTGTGGCATCATAGCTCACAGCAACCTCTTGGGCTCAAGCAATCCTCTTGCTTCTGTTTCTTTTATTTTTAGTAGAGATGGGATCTTGCTTTTGCTTAGACTGGTCTTGAACTCGTGAGCTCAAGCTATCCACCCAACTCAGCCTCCCAGAGTGCTAG